TTAGGTTTGATAAGAAAATACTGTGTATGATTAATTTCCCCCCTCCCCCAAGACCACTACCCCGCATGGCCACTCTTGGATAAGAACTGTCCTTTCCCCCACAGCTTCAGACCAACAACGCCTTCTGCACCTCCAATAGTATCAAAAGGTTTTAAATGCAGCATTTCATCATAAGCAGTTTGAACACATTTGAGAGCTTGCATACTTAGAGCAGGGTTCCCCAACACAGTGCCCGCAGGCACCATGGCGCCTGCCGAGCTTTTCAGAAAGTGACTTACCCTTTTACAGGGCTCTTTCTGTAGCAGGAACTCCTTTGCATATTAGGTGATACACCCCTAATGTAGCCAATCCTCCAAGAGCTTACAGAGCTCTTCTTACAGGGGCTACTGTAAGCTCTTGGAGGATAGGCTACATTAGGGGTGTGTTGCCTAATATGCAAAGGAGTTCCTGCAGCAAAAAGAGCCCTTTAAGGCAGGGCTTGCTATTGGCTTCCCTCAGTCAAATAAAAGTTTTCCACTGAAGGGTGAGGAGGACTGGTAATCAGTGTTCCCTCTAAGCTGAGTTAGTGTGAGCTAGCTCACAGTTCTTTAGCCTCCGACTCACACATTTTTGTCTCAGCTCAGGAAGGATGGCTCCAGAGCAAACTAATTTCTGCAGTAGCCAAATCACTGGCTCACAACTTTAATGTCAGTAGCTCACAATGTAGAATTTTTGCTCACAAGACTCCACAGCTTAGAGGGAACATTGCTGGTAATCACTTGGGTTTCCCTTAATCACTGTGTGGGTCCGTTCCCCCTCCAGGATTTCCTTCTTCCCAGCAGATGCAAGGAAGGAGGTATTTTCTTCGGTTCGGACTCCTGAGGCAGCCATTTTGGGTTTGGGTCTGCTTCCGTTGGAAAATATTTTGGGGTGGCGCTCACCAACCATCTCTCAGAATTCCAAAGGCGCCCGCAGAAAGGTTGAGGACGCCTGACTTGGGGCACTCTAGTCACCCAAAGAATTGTGTCTACCGGGCTATAGGGCACATAAAGCTTGGTGTCGCCTTCTATTAGTTGCTGGCCAGGACACAGAATGATTTCTACAGGCACGCTGCAAATCTGCGGGAGTGCAGAAAAATCCATCTGGCCCTAATACGCGTAAGAATGTTGATACTAAGGGTCCGCCTTTTACTTCTTTATTAAAAAAAAATGTTTGAAGGATGTGGATACGACCCAGTCTTGAAAGCCACGAGAGCACATGATGAATGGAATTCCCAGTGTCTGGGGTAAAGCTAAAGTATCCTGAAGCAAACTTTGTTCCTTCCATATGATTACTAAAACTAGGATCATGCAAAATAGCAGAGCCTGGCATAACTTTTTACTCAAAATTTCTAAATGTACGGCATGTATACAGAGCCAGTTTGGTGGAGTGGGTAAGACCGGCAGACTCTAATCTGGAGAACGGGGTTTGATTCCCCACTTCCCCACTTGAAGCTAGTTGGGTGACCTTCGGCAAGTCACAGCACCCCCAGCCTAAAAATAAGCATAGCTCGCCACCTAGTGGTGCCAAAAAAGAGCTACAGCTTCGGCAGCCAAACAGTCCCCCAGGGATCTCCTGGCTATTCCACACACGACACCCATATGATAATTTCAGTTTCAGAAACAAAATCCAGCTTTCCTGGATACAGAAGAATTGTGTGTTTTACACACACCCCTGACTCCAGCTCTTTAGACACCTCACTGGCAAGTCACTTCGGCTATCACAGTGTCATTCCCCACGTGTCAGTGTGGCATTAGCAAAACTGTGTTTCAGGTTTGCCTCATGTGTTTTAAAATAATTTCTGGTGCATGCTGCCAATGTTTGTGCCAACCACCAAGGGGTGAGTTATGCTGCTGGCTCTGCTGGGCACGCACAAAGGCAACATGCAGCTGGGACAAACAGCTGCACTGGATCAAGAGAATGGGGTGTTCCCATTCGTCAACTGCAACAGCCCTGCAATGGAAATAAGAGGGCCGGGCTGTAAACAAATTTTTTTTGTTGTTGCTGTCGTGTCACAGCTGTCTTATGGAGAGCCCCATGGGGTTTTCAAGGCAAGAGACGTTCAGAGGTGGATCGCCATTGCACACCTCTGTGTGTTTGTTGTTCAGTCGCACAGTTGAGTCCGACTCTTCGGGACCCCATGGACAAGATCTCGCCAGGCCTTCCGGTCTTCTGCCATCCTCTGAAGTTGGCTCACTTTCATGTTCGTTGCATCTATGACACTGTCTAACCATCTCATCCTTTGCCGGCGCTGTCTTCTTTGACCTTCAATCTTTCCCAGCATCAGGGTCTTCTCCAGTGAGGGCTCTCTTCTCATTGGGTGGCCAAAGTCTTTGAGCTTCAGTTTCATTATCTGGCCTTCCAGGGAACAGTCAGGGGTGATTTCTTTTAGGATTGACTGATTTGATCTTCTTGCAGTCCAAGGGACTCTCAAGAGACTTCTCCAGCACCATAGTTCAAAAGAATCTATGCTTCGGCGCTCGGCCTTCCTTATAGTCCAACTCTCGCAGCCATACATGACTACTGGGTATACCATTGCTTTGACCATGCGGACTTTTGTTGGCAGGGTGATGTCTCTACTTTTTATCACGCTGTTTAGGTTCGCCATCACTTTCCTCCCAAGGAGCAGGCGTCTTAATTTCATGGCTGTAGTGACCCTGGTATTTCTTGGAGGTCTCCCATCCAAGTTCTAGCGGGGGCTGAGCCTGCTTAGCTTCCGAGATCTGCCAAGACTGGGCAAGCCTGGCGGCCATCCAGGTCAGGCAAACAATATTTCACGAACAATCAGTGGCCTGAATCCACTGGAGGATTTCCACAGATATGCAAGAAACAGTGATTTTCAGCAGTTCCCCTCTACAGCAATTCCCACTGCAGACCTCTAACTCCCCCCCCCGTGCTTTTCCCGGGGGGGGGGGGGGGGAAGGAAGCTGCAGTCTAATGACAAAAGTCTCTTCTGTTACCAAAAATCCTCCAGTGGGTCCAAGCCAATAGGTTTCCAAATAGAAGAAACATAATTAACAAGGCGTGTTACCAAAAGCGATAATGCATGCACATCAGAAAGCATCAAGCAATAATTATGTACTAATTAAATGCTTACAGCTTTCACAGCTGGAGAACCTTTCAATACCACTGGCCCAAGTCAAACACAATAGACACAATAGACCAATCGTGCGACTGTTAGGGTACAGAGCCTGGGAGATTACTGGGTTTGCATAATCCCCGACACGCGGCGAGTTAAAGCCTGTCTGCTCTTCCCTCCAGATCAGGATCCACCCCCTCCATTTTTGAACCCATGTGGTGGCTCAGAGGTTAAGATGCTGAGCTGCAGACCAGAAGGTCTGTAGTTTGGCAGTTTGAGACCCGAGTGCCGCGTGATGGAGCTGGTCCCAGCTCCTCCCAACCGAGCAGTTCGATAGCAAGAAATTGCAAGTCGATAAATAGGTACCCCTTCGGTGGGAAGGTAGCAGCGTTCCGTGCTCCTCGGCGTCTAGTCATGCCGGCCGCATGACCACGGAAATGTCTTCGGACAGCGCTGGCTCTTCGGCTCGGAAACGGAGATGAGCACCGCATCCCTAGAGTCGGATTCGACTAGCTTTCGAGCAAGGGAAACATTTACCTTTACCTTCCATGGTTTGTGCTCTTCCGTAGTTTGGGGTTCAGACATGTTATCGGTGGTCCCTGAATCTGGAAGTTTTTTTCTTAGACAAGACTACTACAATTGAAGAAGGGAAGGGGAAGAAGGAGCATGCAAGCCTGGGCACAAAACAGCCAAGCCACCTTCTGCCATTGTATCCAAATCATGCCGTCATCTTTTGCTTCGGAACAAATTTAGAGTTCAGTGGCACCTTTAAGACCAACAAAGATTTATTCAAGGTATGAACAAACAGGAACAGAATGGAAAGTGAAACTGCTGAATTACAAGTTATTACAACACTTGGAACAAAAACCTCCCCAGGACTCAACAGGGATATTGCTTTCTTATCTCATTACACATGCTAACTCATTCAGTCCTCACATATGTATTCTCAACAAGAATACTCTGTAAATACTCTGTAATTTAGTGTATTTCTTTTTCAGAATAGTATATTAGAATACTGAATGTAATGCAAGGAATATTGGGATGTTTTGCTGACATGATATTACATTCACCTCAAAAAGTGCTGTGAAGAGATCTCCATGCCTGGGAGACAACACAGATTCTCCGTTTGCTTCCCACAATGAGAAAAGACACCTTTAGACATTTATCTGCTATTCTGACACATTTATTGCTTTATAACCTTAGCTTGTTATTTAGTTCTGACTTTGCATAGCTTAAACATCATCATGTTACATGTTAATTTGCTGTTATGTCCCTGTCTATAAGTTTGAACCTTACCTACCATTCCACTGTATTTGAAGTAGTGTGCCTTGCACACGAAAGATCATACCTTGAATAAACCTTTGTTAGTCTTAAAGGTGCCACGGGACTCTAAATTTGTTCTACTGCTTCAGTCCAACACGGCTGACCACCTGAATCTATCTTTTGCTTTATTAAGCCATGTGACTGTAGAAGAAGAAGAAGAGATTGGATTTATACCCCGCCCTTCACTTGGAGTCTCAGAGCGGCTTACAAACTCCTTTCCCTTCCCCTCCCCACAACAGGTGGGTGGGGCTGAGAGAGCTCTGGCACAAACTGCTCTTTTTCAAGGACAGCTGTGCCAGAGCTTGCGACTGACCCAAGGTCACATCAGCAGGTCCAAGTGGAGGAGTGGGGGAATCAAACCCGGTTCTCCCAGATTAGAGTCTGCACACTGGCTCTCTACACCAAACTGGCTCTCTACACCAAACTGGCTCTCTTAGGGTCATCAGCCACTGCAAGGGGGCAGGATTTTAAGTGCAAGCATTTGCTTCTCCACATCTGACATCCTTTTTTCAATACAGCACACAGAATATGGCGTGTAAAAGACACACTGACCACACACACACGCTCTTCAGTTTTATACCTATTTCTTTTGCAATCAGGTAAGCTTCCTCCGGTGTCTTGGCGACTAATCCGTGCGGAACGGCAATGCCGGCTTCCTTCAGGAGTCCCATGCTCAGGTATTCATGCAGTGACAGGTTCCTTCGCTGCTGCACTTGAAGCCCATGGCTATTCAACGAGCCCGTACTTCCACCAAGTACCTGGGGGGGGGGGGAATGGAACACACTTAGAAGAGCAAGACTGGAGCTATAGCAGTGTAGAGTTTTCACTACTGTGAAAACACACTGACCTATAATAAAGAGTCTATCCACACACTGAGCAGTGCCATGCAATTGGACACAACAATGAGCAAAAGTTTGATTCTAACCCCAACCCTGAAACAGGAGGCCTCGGTCCCTTGAACAACTCTGTCCCCAAGCAGGAGAAAATTTCCCCGAACAAATTCAATAAACACTGAATTCACCTGGAATACGCAATACACCAGTTAATGTGTGCGTGTAAAGTGCTGTCAAGTTGCAACTGACTTACAGTAACCCTGTAGGGTTTTCAAGGCAAGAGACGTTTAGAGGTGGTTTTGCCATTGCCTTCCTCTGCATAGCAACCCTGGAATACCTTGGTGGTCTCCCATGCTAATATTAACCAGGACTGACCCTGCTTAGCTTCTGAGATCTGACGAGATTGGGCCAGCCTGGGCTATCCAGTCTAGGGCCCACAGGGCCCCCTAAGACCCAGGTCCGTTTTCAGAAGGCCAACAGATACCCACGAGAGACCGTTACCGCCTATCCACAATCGCCTCAACTATGAGGAGAAGGTGGAGGAAGGGTATTAATTTTTTCTGCAGTTTCAGGAGGACACTGCACAGTTTCGCCCTGCCCATGACTGGCCATAGGATGCTCGTTTGACAAACAAGGTGGATGAAGAGGTGAAGATAAATCCTTCTGGAGTTATCCATCTGTAGGGGGTGGAGTTTTTACACTAAGACAGTGTTCAGTTGACAGTTGAGATCAGAAGATTCGCCATCTTTTAATAGAAGTTGTATGATTTTATATTGATTGACAGTTTCAATGGAATTTTAATGTATTTTTATATATGTTGTTAGCCGCCCTGAGTCTGCCGAATGGCGAGGAGGGCGGGATATAAATGTAAATATAAATAAATAAATAAACATGTTACTAACTTTCTTTATAGCCCGCCTGTCCCACTGAGACTCAAGTGTAAATCGATGTAATTGATCGGACGTGACATCTAATAAGCAATGTAATCGGACTAGAATCGCAGGAATTTAAAACAAAGCAAAAAAGTATTAGACGTGATATGTTAATGCAGAAAATCACTATACAAGCAGAAAACAATGAACTGCAAACAGAACTCACACAACAAGCAGCTAATATATACTATACACAGTCTACTCCAGAGTCCCATTCTTCTATAAACCATTCAGTGGTAACATATACAATACATTTTAATGATGATAATACTAGTGTTGTTGTTCTTAGCCATTCAGTCATGTTCGATTCTAGGGGCCAGCTCTCTCCATGTTTTCTTTGAGCTGTTCCATGCTCAGGCTGGAGTCAACTTTTATGCTGAACAATCCTGTTTTATACAACTCACAGAAAGACAGACGCAAGGGAATCTTCCTGACCTCTTCAGGCAGGCTGTTCTGTTATCTTCCCCTCTCATCTCCTCTATGCCTAATATGAATATCTCTACCTCAGGGCAACTGTTAAAGGTCTTATCTATCTAGTACTGCTCATACGGCTATCACCTTAAGCAGAAATCAGAACCGAAGAAAATATTTTAAAAGACCTTACTCAGTATTATTTCTCTTATATCTGATTACTGCGCCTATGAATTTTGCCACTGAGAGGGTGACACGATCACTGGTATCCGATAGTAGCCATGACACCTGGGCCCGCACATTTAGCAGTTCCATGTCTAAGTAAAGGGTTGACTAAATTAGCCCTCAACTCATCGAATATAGGGCACTCCATAACCATATGTTCAATGGTTTCGACTGTATATGAGCATCTGTGTGTTCTATTAGTGTATGATACTTTATTATATCTGCCGATACTTTATTATATCTGCCCTCTGAAACTGCCGAGGGAAGAACATCCAGTCTTGCCAACGTAAAAGCTCTTCTTAGTTTTGGGACTGTCAATTGATAAAAATATTTCAGCAGTTGCATCGGGAGGGCAATTCCCAAATGAAGTGTCGAACATACCCTGCGCACCCTAACAGACGTACTCGTAACACCCAATTTCCTTGCAGATTTTTAAATTTGTCTTCTAATGTCTTTAAACTGTTAAAGGTCTTGAATTAAAACATCCAGGTCATTTCCCCCCAGTTTCCAAGGCTGTCCAGACAGAGACGTCGTTCTTCTGCTTCTATCTAATCATGTAAGTCAAAAAGTTAATAATGTGGTCACAGGGAAGGAGAAAGGGGACTTCTGCTTTGGGGGGGGGATATGCATTTTTGTGTTATGTGACAGCTATCACGGTGGCTTCCAAGCCCCCCCTTTCACGCAGACATGTGGACACTTAACACATGTGCAGCTTGGATCAATCAACGCCCCACAATGTCAGGGTGAATTGCCACGCATAAGTGCAAACCAACTTTAAACAGCAGATTTCCCAACTACCTGCATATTTAAACAGTTGTTCACACCTGAGGTAGATTCCTCTGAAAGTATGCATTACTGGCCCAAGGCCACTCCGTGGCAGAGTGGCGGTTTAAACCTGGGTTTTCCCCAGTCCTAGCCTCATGCTAGAATCATTACACCATACTGACTTTTAAATGGCAAGTCCAAGTTTAAAGCATTGCTATAAGAATGCAAAGCAAAAAGTCAAGTAAAATTACTTTGCAGGGTAGAGTGCTAATTCCCGAGGAAAGACCTCCTTGTAAAAAGCATCGGTCTCATACTGTGTTTGTGGCCCAAGATTCCCAAGAGTTGGATTTGATGAGAACAGAGTATTTATGGATGTTCTGACTATCCCCAGAGCTTCTGTCACTGCCATCAGTTTAGACTCGAAAATGTCCCTTTTGGGAAGGGACTGTGACTCAGTGGTCGAGCATCTGCTCTGCATGCAGGTTCAATCCCTGGTATTCCCAGTAAAAAGGATATGGAGCAGAGGTCCATCAGTGGCTATTAGCCACAAGGTATAGCTAGGGGCTCTGGGGCAAGTGATGCTCTGTCTTCTTGGTGCTTGGGGGGGGGGTCAACAGTGGGAGGGCTTCTAATGTCCTGGCCCCACTGCTGGACCTCCTGATGGCACTGGTATTTCTGGCCACTGTGTGACACAGAGTGTTGGACTGGATGGGCCTTTGGCCTGATCCAACATTGGCGTCTCTTATGTTCTTATGTTCTTATGAACAGATAGTCGGTGATGTCAAAGACCTCAGCCTGGGACCCCGGAGATCCGCTGTCAATCTGACAGTACTCACTTTGATGGGCCAAGGGTCTGATTCAGGGTGATTCTGCATTGGCTTTTCCCTCCCTTGTTATGCCAAACCCACATTGGAACAGGAATTCTCCTCTGCATTGCATGCTGCTTTCACTTTCTTTGATCACTGGATTTTATGGTGCCCTCTGGAAAAGCCAGTGCAGAATCAGCCACAGTATAAGGCAGCTTCCTGTGTTCAAAATGAGGGCAAGATCATTGGATAGGATCCTTCCGCATCAAATGGTGCTGCCAGCCTAGTCAACCAGTTCCCCTGTTCTTAATTCCAAACAAATTGCAACATTACAGGCCTAGGAAACAAAAGGCCCCCCCCCCCAATTACAGGCCTAGGAAACAAAAGGCCCCCCCCCCAACTGAGAGAAGATTTTTAAGTACTTATATCCCGCTTTCCTCCTGCAGTTGCAAAGGCAAGGCAAAAAACAGTAACAGGTGCAAACTGAATGAATCCAAAACCAACATCCAGTTGCAGGAATAGATATATACCATAGATTTGTCTTGAGTGCAAACATTTTTTAACAACAACAACAACAACAACAACATCTTTCAATTTATTAATCGCTCAGTCCTGCACAACAACAACATCTTTCAATTTATTAATCGCTCAGTCCTGCACAACAACAACAACAACAACATATTTCAATTTATTAATCGCTCAATCCTGCAGAGCTGCTGGCTCTGAGCGATTTACAGTTACACATATTAACAAGGGACTAACAATGATTCATAGGGGGTAAGGGAGGACAACATATAAATCTTTAAGTCGCACACGTTTGTTTGCAACCGACAGGGGTTTTGTTCAGCTTCGGGTTTCAGCGCTGCACTGCCACCGCCTGGCCGGATTGGCCCATCGCAGGCTTCTTAATGCCGAAGAGATCTTTCCAGGCTTCCAAGCTTACAAGCTGGACATTCCGTTTCGCTGGCTAACACCTCCCCCCACCGGAGGGGTTTAGTGTGCCCACCCTCTCTAAGGAATGGTACCCATTTTATCTACTCTCCGAAGCTTTCAAACCGCTGGGTGTATGTAACTTAAAGGCCAACAAGTTGCAAAGACATTCTGCAACAGACTCAGATGATTCCATTTGCAGCTCGTTCGCTATATTTGTGGACAAATGCTGCCCACCCACCCCCTGGTGGGATTCCGGGGTGCACAAAGACCTGTAAAAACCACTACATAACCACAATGATGATTGTCCACATATGGCTGCTGGAGCTTTTGGAGGTGTCCCAGCCTGAGGAAACTGGGCACATATACAATAAATCCAAAGAGGGCCGTGGGGTCCAAGGATCCAGAGGCGGTGCTATCACAGAACTATTATTCAGTGGCAATTGCAGTCACCGCAGGAGATATGTATAGGCATTTTCTGGAATCCAAGAATATCAAACCCAAACAGATTTTCTTACTCCAGAAATAAGCACGCTCTCCCAAGAGGTGGTTGAGGCAGAACTGCAGTTTAACTGAATGCTACTAAGAGCGCTCTATATACGACATATGAAGCTGCCGTGCAGAGTCAGACCACTGGTCTCAGTAGCTCAGTGTTTCCTGCTCCCACTGGCAGCCGCTCTTGACAAAACACGGTCTTCCACCGTCTACCTGTTATCCAAGATCTGTTTTTTCAACTGGAGATGCAAAATCTTCAGACATGAGACTTTTGTAGTGAAAGCACAACTCCCCACACAGCCTCAGCCCTCTTCCTCCAGTGAGCCATCCGCTTGGGTCAGGGGATCAAAATCCTCAGCAC